GTTCAGATTCGACGCCATTGATGTACGTTTTTTTTTTCTGAACTAAGTCTTTTTTTTTTGTACACTCGAGTTTCAAACCTGAAGTTCTCTCTGTTGTTTTTGTGTGAAGAGTTTAACGAAGGAGTTGCTTACATTTGGAAGCAAGTGTTTGAGGAGTATTTATATGTATGATAAAGATAGTTTAGTGTTAGGTTAATGATTTGGTAAAGGAGGTACATATGTGGACCGTAATTATTTTTATTGCACATAATATTTTTTTTATAGAAAAAGTACATTAATATTGTGGAATATGAATAAGAAGAGCATCATATTTGGTCTCTACAGTTTGGAATGACCAAAAAAATATAAAATTTGGAACAATATATTAATTAGGAAATAATATGCTCTCTCTCTCTCTTTTTTTTTTTGTTGTTGGATGGACCACCACTTGATCATCTTTTTGAACTTACTCATAGTGTCTGCTCTCTTGCTGGTACGGTATTGGCTAATTTATAAATTGAAATGATTATGAACATTGGTTCAAATTATAAAATGGTATGTATTCCATTTCCAAAGTCTAATTATTTTCTTTAGAAGACGAATCATTTGAATGACTTGAGAAGTGATGAGCCCATAAACAGTCACGTCGATTGGAAGTTCATAAAGATATTAATTAAAAGCGTAAATTAATGCTTAATTTTATTATTTAGTTTAACATAATTCAGAAAGTATCCTGACTAGTGGGGACAGAGGTAATTTCTGGGTTTATATGATTCATATACAAAGGCTGCTCTCGAGCCGGAGGTTTACCTAGTCAGCGCGTCCAAATGATAGTAGGTAGAGATCCTCCGTTATAAAAAAATAAATTTCAGAAAGAGGCTATTTATAAACATAAGCCCACATGTTGATATTTTATATGTTATTGGTACATAAACAAACAAATCAAATGGTAACCCATTAGAGCTAATTTCATGTCCCATATGATACCATTAGACAAACTTATATATATATATATCGGCCCACATTCCTAAAACCATGTTTTTTTGTTGTTATTGTTGCTAGAAGCTGAAAATTAAATTAATTACGGCTTTGATTATATTTATGAGGCATTTTTTTAATACCAAAGAGATAAATTTAAATAATCCCTTCGTGCTTTACCTTTGTCTACTTTTTTTTAGAGGCTTCTACTGGATTCCGGGGTTTTAGTTTACTTTTTATTTGGCTGATATTGTTATGTGTTTAATGATTAACGAATAATCTATATTCATGTCCACTGTTCTCTATTATAAGAATTCTGGATCATTCTATTTTCGTTTTTTTTTATTTAATTTTATTTATTAGGTGTATTCGGATTATCAAACAAGGTCGAATTATGTTTAATTCAATCTTTATATCATCTATACTGAATATCGTTTTCGATATAGAATAGAGAAAACTTTCTTAATTTAATATCATTTAAACAACCTCACGTGTCGTTTGGAGAAAGTGGAATAATCATACCCACAAAACCTTTTCTATATCCCAATATTATGATATGCAAATTTATTATAAATATACATATATGTATATGTATATACACGACAGTAGATAGTGGACACACGAGTGGTAAAGACAAGAAATGAAATCTTCCCGCAAAGCTCGAGACTTTGTATTTTTGTCTCTACTTTTATCTTCTCTCTCTTTTTTGTTATTCCCCCTCGACTTTATATTATAGGCTTTGGCCTGGAATGGTATGAGTTTTTGGAGTTTTTAGAATCCAAAAACAAAAAAAAACAACATTCAAGTTTTTACAAAATTACTTTTCCTAAAAATTTGGAAAGCCATTTTAGTGAAAAAATCAATGAAAAACCAAAAGCTACTTTTTTTGAGTTTTCAAATATTATAAAATCCAAAAGCCAAAAACCAAAAACTAAAAACCAAAATCCAAAAACTAAAACCAAAAACCCAAAATAAAAGCCATCTTCATTCAAAGCCTTTAATTTACTTACTCCTTTTGTCTTTGAGGGTTTTTTTTTTAACTTTGTTTCATGTTTTATCTACAACCATTTATGTTTTGTACTATAAAAAAATGTTCAGATTGTTATATAACCGATTAATATGGGATAGTTGATTCTCCTAACATTGTGGTATATATATACATATATATTTATAATCGTGGTAAAAAATTCTAGGTCTAAATTGAGATAACTTGATATCGTTGATATGGGTATATTATATATATATATATGTATATGTATGTATGTATAAATTAAATCCGGAAACAGGAGATGGGTTTTCATAAGCCAAAGTCCCACCATTATATATAGTCAATGCATTATTTTATGCTTTAATCATACCATATGTATAAACTTTGTCCTTGTGGTTACAGCTGAGGACAAAATATTACAAGAGAATAAGAGCCATAATAAACACGTAATTATTGAATTTTTATGATGTGTGTTACATATGATCTACCACCCATAAAATCTGGCTATCGTCTTTCCTTCTTTGGCTCATCTTTTGAACATGTAGGAGCCAACATAATATATATACATATATTTTATTTTTATACCAAAATTTTAAATTTTGATTTGTTAATGAGTTCAATTCAATGGGGGGGGGGGGGGTGAGATCTTGCTTCTAATCTAAATGAATCATATGATGAAGAAAATAATTATTTATTGACCCTTGAGTAGAAGTTTTTGTAAGAAATATGCAAAATCATGTATATTCATATTATGTGAACCAACCTATGAATTACATTAGCAAATTATATATGAGGCGAATTGAGATGTTAATTTTTCTAGATAAAATCTCGAATCTTAAAAAAAAAAAAAAGATTATTCATTTTTCATAGAATCAAAACAAAAACCAGTAACTGAATCGACATTTAACAATCCGACCAAACTAGTGTTTTTACTTTTGCATTCATGAGTTATCGAGGTGGGTTCATGCTGTCCAGTATCCTGAAGCCACAAAAAAGAAATTGAAAACGAAATTAACGATTTGATAAAGTGTGCGTGTGTATGTATATACACATATATTTAATTTTAAAAAGCTGATGCTGATACAAGGGAGATAAATTAATATGAAAATATATTCCCAATTTCCCCACTAGGGTTTGTGCCCTTGTGTTGAAGTTGAGAAGGCCACACATCAATCATGCTGCTCTTCTAAAGTTCCCCCATTCATACCTTTTGCATCCATTTGCCTCTCTTCTCTCTTTTTAAATTCATTGTGACTAGGGATGGGCATTCGATTCGGATATTTCCGTTATTAACCGAATCGACCGATATATATCCGAACCGAATAAAATTAAATAATCGTTTGGTTATGTTTTTTAAATTTTGAAATAATCGAACCGAAATAATCATAAACCGAATAAAACGAACTCGAATTAAACGTAATGAATAAAACGAATATAACTGTTTATCAACCTATATATCACTAATTAATATACAATATATTTTAAATCTATTAGAAAAAAAAGTATAATGATATTGTTTTATAACTATGATATATAACAAATTGAGATATATAAATTTTTTTTCTAATTTAATAATTATTTTATTATTTTTAATTTATTTCATTATTATTTTATTATTCTCAAATTTTGTACTATATGACCATTTGGAAAGGATAAAATTTATTTAAATTTTTTTGTTTTGTTTTTTTACGTCAAAACAAATTATGACATAAATTTATATTTTATTGTTTCATATGTTAAGATGTTCATGATGATATTTTATATTATATCTTGTTTGAATATTTTTTCTATTATAAACGTTTTATTTTTTTTAATATTATAACCTAATCGAACCGAATCTTTATTTGGTTATAATTTGGTTATAATTTTAAGTATATAAAAGCGAACAGAACCAAACCGAAACGAACCAAACCGAAATATCTAAACCCGAATTAACCATGACCGATTAATTCGAACTGAACCGTTTGCCCATCTCTAATTGTAACACATCAAATGTGGCATCAAATTGACTAGTTAACAGGTTTGTAGCTATTCTTGGTGAAGAATGGTATGTATATGAAATACGTATTTATATACAAATTGGATTTGTGTTTTTTTTTGTATTGTTTAGTAAGAGTGTTAGAGTTTCGAGCAACGAAAATAAATCGGGATTGATATGAAGAAACGATAAAGAAAAGAACAAGACTAATAAATGATAAAGTGATTTACGTGGAAACCTAAATCGGAAAATAAAACTCGCTGGTAGAGAAGAAAATTCACGGTAGAGAACAGAATGCACATTTTGGTGGTACATTTGCTGCTACTACTTTTTTCCAATAAACACGACTCCATACATAAAATGTGAGATATATAAAAATATTGTCGAATACAAAATAGATAGTTATTCTAGAATCCAGAAAAAAATATATAACTATCCCAAAACACAAAATGGATACTTACAAATTTAGAAGAAACATGTAATTATATCCAAAATCTAAAATGGAATTCCGGTTACAACTTTAACAAAGAGAAAAACAAAACCAAAATGAGATCAGTTTGATTCTTTTTACATTTGATTTTGTTGAGATTTTAATTAATGAGTTTGAGTTTGGTGTTATATTCCATGTTTGGTTTTCTCTATGTTTGATCTAGTTTTATCCATTATATTATATTTTTCTGTTATTAAATTGAGTGACTATCTTCATGAAAATGTCGATTTGATAATTTCAAACATACTAAACACATGGATATATTTCTAAATTCTAGTACCAACACATTCCCGAAGAATACAAACTTCTACTCATTTTTCATTTTTGTTAGTTATTTTTCCTTTTTTTTGTTATGTTAATTATGATAACAAGTTTATTAAAAAATGTAAAAAAATCTAAAATTTGTGTATTTTATATTTTAATATCTCAACTATTAATTTTTTATTTTGATATCTAAATTTGTGTCTTGTTAATTTTAGGAAAAATCGCCAAAAAAAACCATATACTCTTTCCATTTCGATGAAAAAACCCTGTACTTTTTTCGTTACTAATTAAATCTTATACTTGATATGATTAACCAATAAAACCCGAACTTTTTAAAAATTTGTCGAAAATCTTCCGCGTTTACCAACTCATACAAAAATGATGATGTGACAATGACATGGTTTCTAAATCATGCACATATCATCATCATTATGCCAAATCATCATTTCAAATAAAATTTAGATTGAATAATTCATTTAAATTAATATATATACATACAATTCATACACATATATATATATTAAAAATAAAGTTATTTATAATTAATAAAACACATATATGCATACCTACAACATATATGTATATTATAACTAATATATATATTAAAATAAAAATATTTATAACAAACATATATAAATATAATATATATATATTGAAAATAATGTGTATATATATATATATTATACATACAACATATACATATACAACTAATATGCATATTAAAATAAAAGTAATTATAACTAATATATATATAATATCTATTAAAAATAATACGTATATATATATATTAGTTATACATATTAAAATAAAAATAATTATAACTAATATATATATACACATTATATATATTAAAAAATATATATATGTATATATTATTTATAATATAATTTATGATATATATATTGTAGATATGTATATATGTGTTTTATTAATTATAAGTAACTTTATTTTTAATATATATATATATATATATGTGTGTGTGTGTGAATTTTTATGTATATATATTAATTTAAATAAATTATTCGATTTAAATTTTGTTTGAAATGATGATTTAGTATAATTATAATGATGTGTTCATGATTTGGAAGTCATGTCATTGTCACAATATCATTTTTGTTTAAATTTGCAAACGTGAAGGGTTTTCGGTGAATTTTTAAAAAGTTTAGGGTTTTATTGGTTAATCATACCAAGTATAGTGTTTAATTAGTAACGAAAAAGTATAGCGTTTTTTCATCGAATTAGAAAGTATACATGTTTTTTTTGGCAATATCCCCTTAATTTTAATATTTTTTTTATAAAGTGTTAATTTTAATACCTTACATTTTGTTAAATGATCAAAATAAATTTAAAAGAAAACGAGTCCAAAAGATGTCGGTTTCTTTATATTATTAAAAATAAAAATTTTGGAAGTTCAGAAATTGAAATAAGTTTTTAAAAATTGGAAAATTAAATAAAAAATATAAATTCAATTTATTTATTGCAATTTGTAAAGTAGTAGTTTTTTTCCCTAAGAATTAGTAATCTTGAAAAAAAAACGATAGTCCAAATTTGATTAGAAAATATGTAATTGATTTCAATGTTTTATCATCGGAAATTTACTAAAACAAGGAGTGACAATGCAATTTTCAAGGAGATGTTTGTGGAGAGTTTCTGCTTTGTCCATAAAATAAAAGCATCACAACACTCTCATGGGAAAAAAAAAAGGAATGCTACCAGACTAAACCATCCGGTTCGACCGGTTTAGCGATTCCGGTATACGGTCTGAGCAAGAACCTTGCCTTCTCTTATTGGACACTGAGAATGGAAACGACGGCGGATAAGGTGGAAAAGATGGAGTCGCTTCCGTACGCCGAGGCCGATTCCAGCCTCCGAGCTTTGGCCGGACTCGCCGAGGGTTTTGGCCGCTCCGCCATCGGCGGCCTCCACGGTCCTCTCTACATCGTCACTTCTCTTGCAGGTGATCTATACATATATGCGTACATATGTGTACGTGTGTCTTGTTCTGTGTTTGTGTATGTGTATGTGTATGTATGCAGATGCTTCACCAATGATCATGCTTTTTCCATTTGTCGGGAATTTTGAGTGATTGGAGTGATCGAACGTCATCGGTGGATGAATCGAGCTTGATTTTGTGTCTTAAATTCCATTTTGTGGATGTGTTACGGAGAATTTGCATCAGATGCATTTAAGTCGTCACTTTTCTTGCAGATGATATGTACATATGCGTGTGTGGTGTATATGTATGTGTAATTGTATTTGTGGGTGCTTAACCGATTATCATACTTTGGCCGTTTCTGTGGAATTCGTGAGTGATAGAAGAGATCAAGTGAAATGGATGGATGAATCAAATTTGATTTGCCATCTCAATTCCATTTTGTGGATGTGTTGCGGAGAATTCATCTCGAGATGCATTTGTTGTTTTGATCTATCTCTGCAGATTTTTTTTATTTGATGTATGAGATTTTGATTTGCGTATCAATGTAGATGATGGACCGGGATCCCTCCGCGAAGGATGTAGGAGAAAAGAACCATTGTGGATTGTTTTTGAAGTTTCTGGAACCATAAATCTCTCATCCTATCTGAGTGTGTCCTCTTACAAAACCGTTGACGGTAGGGGACAGCGAATCAAGATCACGGGTAAAGGACTAAGACTAAAAGAATGTGAGCATGTCATTATATGTAACTTGGAGTTTGAAGGTGGAAGAGGGCATGATGTTGATGGCATTCAGATAAAACCAAAGTCCAGGCACATTTGGATTGATCGGTGTAGCTTGCGTGATTACGATGATGGGCTTATCGATATTACCAGGCAAAGCACCGATATCACTATTTCGAGGTTAGTAGATAGATTATTGGATATTGTTGTATGTGGCTGCAGCTGATGATTGATATGTTTGTGCTGATTACTCTTACGCCTCTGGTTTCTAGATGTTTTTTTGCGCAACATGACAAGACGATGCTGATAGGAGCAGACCCTTCTCATGTCGATGATAGATGCATTCGTGTGACCATACATCATTGTTTCTTTGATGGAACAAGGCAAAGGCATCCTCGTCTCAGATTTGGAAAGGTTCACTTGTACAACAATTACACCAGAAACTGGGGGTTATATGCTGTCTGTGCTAGTGTAGAAGCGCAGGTAAAACCTATTATATTTGCCTACAGAGCCTGAGAAGTGGGCTTTAATTGAAAGGCTATTGCAGATCTTTGATCTTTGCCATGGTCATCAAATATAACTTTTTGATCATATGTGATGACGATAATGTTTCTGCAATCAGGTATTTTCTCAATGCAATATATATGAAGCAGGACAGAAAAAGAAAACTTTTGAGTACTACCCAGAGAAGGTGATTGTCTTGCTCTTTGATTCGTTTTGGTTCTTACATTCGATCAGATTTTATTTAAATAAATAACAACATTATTTGCTTGCTCTTCAAGTTTATCCATAATCATCATCTTGCCCGTACGTGTTTGTAGGCGGCTGACAAGGAAGAAATGAGAGCTGGGTTAATACAATCTGAAGGTGACTTGTTCCTGAACGGAGCTCAACCGTGTTTGGTAAAAGGGGTCGGGGAAGAATCTGTCTTCCATCCATGTGAATACTATCCGACATGGACCGTTGAACCACCATCAGAATCTCTCAAGCAAATTATCCCAATTTGTACCGGCTGGCAATCCTTGTCCCGTCCTGCAGATCACGGAGTCCTTAACCAGCAATAGTTACCATCCTTCATGCGGTTTGAATTTAAGATTTGCGTGTTGTTCTTTGTCCTGTTTTCTGCTTGTTGGAGCGTCGAGTAATTCTACTTTCTTTGTTGCCCTTTATTTATAGACTGATGTATAAACAATGCAATGTCATGCTCTACCTAGTGACTAATAAGTTGTTCTGCTTCATCAAATTACATGTACCTAGAAGTTTTTCTGGCTTATCGGATTCTTGTTTAGATTAAGATTAGCTTTGGTTAAAGTATTGTCCACTGTGAGTCGTCTCATCCAAATTTATCTGTGTTTCGAGTTGTATCAAAACGGCGTTCAGATTCTGATAACGAAAATCTCAGTTCCTTTTTCTTGGTTTTTTATGTTGTACAATAGAAGTGTTAGAGATGACAATAATTGAAGTACCGCAGTATACAGCTAGGCAAATATGTAATCTTAGAATTCATTCCATAGGGAGTAAAATATTTGTCGCCTGCTGTCACTTGTGAACTCTGTTACCCTCAAGCACATCCAAGTGAAGAACAGGAGGATGAAGACGAAGAAGAAGAAGAGCCACCGCTTACAATAGGAGTACCGTGGAACAGATCCGAGAGGTAGTTCTCCAGATTATCCGGCTTAAACCTTACAAGAATCTCCAGGTTTTTCTCTTGACTAAGAATCTCCAGATGTTTTTCGTAGAACTCTCTGTACTCTGGCACAAGTTTCTTTGCGATTGAAACCTTCAGTTCGTCCCTCAGTTTCCCGTCTGATACTATCCATGCCGATTGTTTCATATATGCTTCCTCGAATGCCGCATGGAATCTTCTGCAATGTGATTTCGCCTCTTCCGA